TCTCTCTCTCTCTCTGTCTCTCTCTCTCTCTCTCTCTCTCTCTCTCTTGTTGTGCTCTTCCTCAATTTCCTTTTAAATTGACATTGATAGCATAGAAAAGAGATATCCTAACCAGAGTACAAATAGAAGATCAAAATCAATCATTGAACGGTTGAGATTAAAATTTGAAATCTGCTAAAACTAGCAGATCACATCTTAACCATCAATGGTGGAATATGATCATCGATGATGGCCCATCGATGGTTGATTGTAGTCCATCGATTGTGTAAATTTCGTTTTCTAGATTTTTGCATTGTTGACTATAGTCCATCGATGGTTGACTACAGTCCATTCGATATTCAAATTTTAATTTTTATTTTTCTGATTCTTTTCTGTAGTTCATCAATAACTTGACTTGACCATCGATGATGCCTCGTAACCATCGATGGTGGGTTGTAACTATCGATGGTTCAAAGGTTAAAATCAATATCATGTGTTGATTTTTTTACATCATTTTGAACCATAATTTGTTCGCACTTATTCATACCTGAAATATATCAACTCACAAACATATCTGTCACGCCTCACTTCCCAAAATACCGGGGAATCGGAATATGAACAAGCCCGCGACGTATTAGATTGAGGAGAGTTAATAAAAGACCATTTCTTCTCAACCTAATACGCTAAGCATCAAACAATATAAAATGCGAAGTCATAGGTCCCCGATCACAATTAGCAAGAATGTAATAAACAACTCAGAATAGAAAAGAGTTATATCATAAATGGAATATCATCCGAGACACAGAGTTTGAGTTAAACATACCCTTATTACAAAACAGTTCAACTAAAAATATAAAAATACATAGTCTAACAACATCAAAGGAAGTACTGCAAAAATATCTAAATCTTCAAATACTAAAAGAGAAAGTACTACATAAATAATCTAATATCCGTCAGCAACTACAGAAGAGAAATGACTAAGCTCTAGCTTGCTCTTCTGCTCCATCTGGAATACACTCTGACTGTAAGGCATCTCCATACTAAACCTATATGTCCTCTAAATCTGACGTACACCAGAGAAAACATGTGTACGTCAGCGTGCATGACACACGATAAAACCCCACAAAAGAAAATAGAACAGTCGAATGACCAATGCGATCACCGATGCAACAACAGAAATGACAAAGAAACGTGCAACTGGAAATTTAATAAAATCAACATGCAATCCACTACTAAATCATGATAATCATAATGCCAACAACATATAATAACAGGGTCGAGTACTAGCCATCCTAAAATAGATTACAGGTCTATATCTCACGTAGAGTCAACGTTCATATTCTCGGATAAATGATTGTTCACAAATTCTCTACGTGCATCCAATACTGCTATACGAATCGGTCAGAGGACTACACGTAATCTGATTTCGGCCTGGTCCGAACTCAAGCAGAACTCGGGTGACTGCACAAATTCACTGACCAAAGTGACTACACGAATTCACTTTAGCCCAACAAACCAACCCTAGTGACTACACGAATTCACTGGTGTGAGCCTAGAAGATACATCAACAACCACATCCGATCACATGAACCAAGACTTCCTCATCCCAACTCTTCTCTCTTTTCTAAGTTAACAAACATAACTTACACTAAATCTCAAGTCCACCTTCTAAATTCAGTCAACGCATACATACATGTCACTAAGTCTTGTTCATGATGCATAAGACCACTAAGTCATGAACTACTAATGGTTCTCAAACACAATAAGAACAATAAATACAGCTAATTCTATGCAAATAAAACATGGTATGTCACACAATTAAAATAAGAATTATGAAATCGATGGATGTTTTGCACATAAAATATCACGGTCAACAACCATCAATCACACGATCATAAACTAAATTAATTCAAAATAAATAATCTTTTTGCAAAATAAATTTCTTACAAATTATCTCTCACCATAATTATTCAAAAAAAAATCTTTTAAAATAATAAATTCATAAATTCAAAAATAATCTTTTTACAAGATAAATTCTCATTAATTCAAAATAGTCTATTTTCCCAAAATAAATTCTTTTAAAAAATATTTATCATTCTAAAATTAATTCAAAATAGTCTATTTTCCCAAAATAAATTCTTTTAAAAAATATTTATCATTCTAAAATGATTTCTTTCCACCAAATAAATTGTTAAAAAAATATTATAATTATTCTAAAATAATCTCGTTGTCAAAATAAACTCTTTAATTTATCATAATTATTCTAAAAATACTATTTATCACATAATTATGATTTATTTAATATTATTCATCAAATCCACATAGATAGTTATATCACAAATTAATATAAGTAGATAATTTATAATTTCATCAACAAGCGCACGCATGTAATTATTAACAGATCTAAAATTCTAATAAATGATAATTAAAAATGGAAATTCGTACGTACTTAAATCACGACAATTATAAGAATTGAAACGAAACTAATCGAGAATCGGGATCTTGCGCATAATTAATTTACGATAAATCTAATTGTACGAAATAATAAACGGGAAAATTAGGATCTTGCCTACGAGTTTCTGTTGAACGTATCGACCTGGACGTGCGAGTCCACGGGTGAGGCGGTGACAACAATCGGGTTGTGCGCTGCGTCAGCGGCGCGGATCTGACCTCAGGCGTTAGTGGAGGCTACAATAGCAAGGATGGAGGTGACGCGGACTGGGGTTCTGCGTAGGGCTGGTTGAGGCTGTGGATCTAGGGGCGGCTCAACGGAGTGAGGACTGAGACGGCTCGGGCTCGGAGATCAGGTAGTGGCGGGAGAGTGATGCGGGACGAGCGGCACGGGGTCGGGGTTGCGGGACGAGCGGCGTAGGATCGGGGCTGTGGGAGAGAGGCACAAACGAGGAGGGGCAGGCGGCGGTTGTGGTTGTGCGATTCTGGGGGTGGTTGGTGGTTGAGGATGAGGGGGTGCTGCGGGGGCAGGAGGCGAATGGTGTTGGTGGAGGGTGTGGAGGAGCAGGAGGTGGGCTAGGCCTTGCGTGGGGGGTGCGGTTGAGGAAGAAACAGAGGAAAAGCAACAGTGAGGAGGTCGGAGGGGAGCGGAGTGGTGTGGTGGAGGTGGTGTGGCGGTAGGCAGGAGGAAGGGAGGAGGCAGGCTTATGGGAGAGGGGTGGTGGTGCAGGAGGAGGATTGTGACGGCGTGGTTGAGGGAGGAGGGAGGGTACGAAAGAGAGAGACAGGAAGCTGGGCGCGGTGATGAGGAGAGAGAGAGAGATAGAGAGAGAGAAGATTATATATAAATAGGATTAGGATTTAGGGAATAATTAGAGAATAATTAGGGAAATTAGCAATAAATAAGAAATAGTTATTATAATTAATAACTATACTGATAATAACAATAACAATAATAAAACATATATTAATTTAAAAGTTTTTATCGTAACAAGTTAATTTATAATTATCAAAATCATTAAATAAATATAAAATCAGATTTTTAAATCATAGAAAATTCTAGAAAATCGAGAAAATACAAATACTCTTTTAAAAATAATAATTGAATATTTTAAATACCAGAAAAATTATTTTAACTAGTATCGAAAATTCATGATCATTACAATATTAATAGCAAATGAGAGTTTGTTATTATCAAACTAAAGATATTGCACGAACAACGTTCTAATAACAAGTACTTAAAGAAGTTTGCCTTAATCAAAACATAGAGAAACGATTGATTTATCTCAGTAACTGCTAAGAATTTCTTCTCTTGTTCCAAAAAAATATGAGAATTTCTTTTACACGAAATAACTCATAATAACACACTACCTTATATATCTCTTTGTAATCTCACATATTAAGGGAAACTCCGTATAATCATTAAGGAGACTATAATTCATATTGACTTATCATATCCATAGAAATTCCAAATTTACATTTAATTGTATTCCGCAAAGAAAATATAAAGAATAATCCAAAAAGTAAATGGAAATGAATTTCCACATCCACACCACATAGAAGACATACAGTCTCAATCTGAACTCCTTCCTTTATCAACATATTTTTAGTGTTTAATTTTTAAATAGGAAGTTCTCAGATAACAACATAATAACACTCAGTCCCTTTAGGATTGACTCTATGTTTTAATGAAATTTTGCTTAGATATTAGTTCCGTATCTTCAATAATTCTTTATTTGTTCCTCGTATCTAGTAAGTTTCTCATTAGTCCCTCAAATCTTAAGTATATTATAATTTGGTCCTCAATGACCAAAGTACGCCCTCTTTCTTCTCCTCAATGACCAAAGTACGCCCTCTTTCTTCTCCGATATGGGTCTCCTAAAAGCAATTGCTATTATATCTCCCTACTCAGCTGCCCTAGCCCATCCCCACATCACTAGCCCCCCCAACTCTTTGTTTAAGATTCAGGAAAAACTCTTCTCCACTTTACTACAATAGAACGATGATGAGCAATGCTGGGTGAAGATTATCTAATCACCAAACAGTGATGGGAGTTATGAATCAACTAGCTCAATTATCTCGTCTCAGTCAAAGATTAAATTTAATAAGCGATTGAATATCCATAACATTTCTCAAAAAGTACTTAGGAAAGGACAATTCTGAGCTATTTGTTCCAGAGAAGAAGAGGCTTCTTTAGATAGTGATGGTACGAAACTGGTGTTGGTTCTGATGAGTAAAGAGTATGAAGAAGAGACGTGCAATGAGGAAAATTGGTGCGAGGTAGGGTATGTAAATGGGCTGCAAGAGATATTGTGTTTATGTGGATTTTGGGCTTGAGAAGAAAGAATGGAGGGTATTGCAGTCATCGAGGGACCAAATTACAAGAAAATTAAGATATGAGAGACTAATAACCAATTTATAGGATTCGAGGGACTCATGTAGAATTATTATTTAAGGGACTAATATGTAAATAACCGTACAAATTATAATTTTTTATTGGGTCGGGTCTACGAATACTGGATCCTATAACCAAACCCGAATCATTGAAAGTCCAACCGAGGCAACGGGATCCTCCATCGACAATCATTGCCCCGCAACAAACTTAAAACCCTTGGGCACCGTCGGTGACATCTAGGGCATGGAGAGGCCGCGAGCGCGGCGGCAGATCGACGGAATGCGGCGGAGTTCAATTGCTGCATGTCGATGGGTTGATACTCTCTCTCTCTCTCTCTCTCTCTCTCTCTCTCTCAACCCTTTCCCACAATCGATCACGATTCGTGAATTGTTCTTAGATTTATCTATAGCGGTGCCCTGATCTTCGACGAGTTTAGCAGTAGCTGTGCTATTTCTTTACATGATTATGAAATTTCTATTGAATTAGTGTTTATTTTTCAATAGCAACTAAGCTCGCAGCAACAGCGATTTTTTGATAGCCTTGTACCTGTAACTTATTGCGCTAGCATTGTGCTTTGTGCTATTAACAAGCGTAAATGCAGTCTGTAGCATTGAATTCCTTTGTTAGACGGGGGCGGATGGACTGCCTAGCTAGTGGTGCAATTGCAACTCTAGACATTTAGAAATTTGCATGTAAAGCCATGCAAATTTTTCATCCGCCCGCCAGGCCGCCACATAAAATTTTATAATCGCACCCCAAGACCCAAGCAATCTAAAAACACTAGAGAAGTTAGTGAATTGCCCATTGGAAAGCAAAAAGTCCATTTGAAATATTAACAATAAAGTGCACGAAGTGCATTCCCATTAGATACTATATTTTATGTTTAGGTATACACACTTTGTCGTCTGCCCCCCATGGGAAATTTTCTGGATCCGCCCCTGTTTATAGATTCCATATCTAAATATGTGCGGGTGTGCATTTGGGTGCGTGGTGGTGCATGTTGCGTATCAAAACTGATATAGCAGCAACATGTTATACCTGTATTTTCTCGCCATGGGTAGAAACCTGACTCATTTATGATTGAATCTAATACTTATGGAGGGAGAGAAAATGTATTAAGAAACGTGTGGATCCGTAATTTCTGTAGCTTTGGATATGTCAAAGTGCAAACAATTCAGTCTAATATGTGTGAACTTTATTGATAACTACTTAAAGATTTGTGAAGCTTACTATTCTTGCCAAACATTGGGAATATAATTCTAGCCTATCACATCACATCTCATTTTGATGAAAGTGATATCACTTTGGTGATGTGTTGCAACCATGGAGACTTTGATATTTCATTCTTTGCTTTGGCTTATATTGTGCCTTAAGACTGAATATAGTCCCCTGTAGCAAACGTTATCATCTTCTCTGTCTAGCATCTTTTAAAGTCTAGAGGGGATTTGAAAGGTTTCTTGAGCACATCAATTAGCTGGCGACACTAAAAAGTTGTCGGTCACATTTACTCTGCATGACCATGAGGGTTTTTTGGCTGGACCCTTTGTGCTCATATAGTTAACTTATCAAGGAATTTAGAACCAACAACAAGAGGGCTGAGGTCAGTGTGACATGTAGTAAAATTAATATTGGTTCTTTTTGTGAAACTTTCTCAACTTTTACTCATCTCTTTGTTGGAAAAGGCTTGGATTTTGAAAATTACAGTTATTTGCAACAATATTTATATTTTGCTGCACACTTGTTAGTTTCTGCTTTCCTATGATGACATACTTATGTTAAGTTGGAGTACACAATGGTTTAGCTACATATAACAATTAACACCAATTCAGACATCTATCTTAAATATCTGGGTGTGCTACTTTAGTAAATTAACTACATCCTATTGTTAATTTAGCTTGATGATCTACTGTTTTCTATTGCAGAACTGGCCAGGATTACCTCGAGGTGTTAGATTTGATCCATCTGATGAGGAGTTGATGTGGCATTTACTTGCAGAGACTGGGGAAGGGGAGGCGGAGCCTCATCCCTTTATTGGTGAATTCATTATTTCCCTTAATGAAGATAATCAAACTTTTTATTCATCTCCTCACAAACTACCTGGTAATCACAAAATCTTGATGTCCTCATTTCATGTTTTCCTTTTATATTTTCCCTTCTAAAACTTGCTATGTATTAGGTATAAAGAAGGATGGAAGTCTGTCCTACTTTTTCCATAAATCATTAAAGGCACACGAGAATAAGAGGCAAATGCCTAGAAAGATTCTGAATGGTGACTTGGGCAATGTTTGCTGGCATAAAATTGGCAAGACTAAACCAGTGTGCATAGATGGAGTTCAGAAAGGTTTGAAAACAATTATGGTTCTATACATGAGCATGTCAGACAGTGACAAGCCAAAGAAAACCAACTGGATGATGCATCAGTATCATGTTGGTGGTGAAGAGCATGTGGAGGGAGATCTTGTTATTTCTAAAATCTTTTATCAGGTGAAGTTCAGGCAAGATGACAAGATTGCACATGATCTTGGTCTAAATAACACTGCTGGCACAGAAGAGAAGGTTGCAGTTGCTCCAAGATTATGTGGAATTAGAGGTCATGCACAAAATTCCAATTCAATCTCCATGGAGGTGCCATGTCAGGTGTTTGTTAATCTGTTCATAA